ACATGATGTCGCGTCAATGGATTTTTCTTTACCTAAGGCGCCATCTAAAATTCATCTCCCATACAATCTGCATCTTACCCAAAGCCGGAGGCAAATTTGACATGCAGCAGTTTATGTATTTTATGTATTATGTATTTTGTTTGCTTCTGGAATAGTTGGGGGTTAATCATTTGTCTTTTGCCCATAATGCTAGATATAATTTTATAGCTATCATACTCAGCTATGAGTAATTCATTCACTCTGCCAGGTGCTTCTAACCTCTATTTAAGCTGCAGACCTCTTGGCTACAACATCTGACCCAATTTTGAGGCTTTACAATTTCTCTCCCTCCCTCCTTCCCCCCATGTTATTGTATTTTTTAGTAAGATTACACAAAATAAGCAAAATGCAAAAAAATACAAGAGGTAAACAGTGAAATACTAAAGTCAATTAATAAACTGCCAAAAAAAACCCCCAAAACAACCCCCCCCCCAAACTGAGTTCCTGAGAACGTTTACTCTTCGAATGCCCTGAATAAAATTATTACCTGACTGTAGTATTGGAAGATCTAATATGTTTTCTATGTCTCATTAATGCAATTATTGTAATTCGGGTGATGCACACTTTTCAACAGTCCTGGCCCAATATGTGGCCAGAACTACAGAGATCTGTAGTTTATATTAATTTTACTTTTTTCATATTTATATTTTATTTTTAGATGAGGCAAAAGGTCTCCAGCAGCAAATGCTGGGTAGTGATGGACCTGTTATTTAGCTTTTTTATTTTTTTCTTGAGGACTAGTCTCATGTGGACTAGGCAGCTCCTCAGGAGTGGAGGAGGATGCTGGCATGCTATCGAAAAAATCAGCTAGTCGGGTTCTGTGTATAAAATGGGAGTGGGGCTCCAACCTGCCTTTCCCCTCAGCCAGTCAACTATCTTGGGACCAATTCTGAGGGATAGCTAAGCATGCCTCCTTAACCCATTTCCCTCTCCAACAACCTTCACACAAATTCCTGTTCTCCCTAAATTCTGCCTCTTCATGCCTATTGATGTGCCATACATAGTTGGCTGAGACAACCTGTCACTAGGCATATGTTTTTGTCTGTCCTGATCCTGCTTAGCCATCATCTCCACATAGGAAGACAAATGATCAAGTATTAAAAATCCCATTACTTTCTAGCTTCCCAGTGGCGGACGGGCTCCATCTGTCACACTTGACCGGTTGGCAGAGATGAGCAACTGGCTGGGAACTAAATCACATTGGAGATGCACACTGAATTCAAAGCTATTGCTGACCGCCACACCTTAAGGTTAGCTAATGAAGCCATTCGAAGCACCATTTGTCCAAACAGGAAGTGTTCTGTATCAGTTGCATTAAGGTTGGCTACAAAAGGAAATACATGGAAACACAAAACCCACGTCAGCAAAATATTTTATTTCTAGGCTCTTTCCTCCGTTTAACATTTGGAACAGAAACATGAAATGCCACAAGGAAGCTTACAAATGTTAACACCATTAGAGAACAAAAGTAATGCTCTTTCAACATAAGCTAAGATCTACAGTAGTTTACTCCAACGGTGTGCTACGTTCAAGTACCTGCTTTAATAATATGTCTTAAAAAAAAAAAATCAGAGCGACAGCCCCCTGCAAGTTTCTGGAAGAAAAAACTTCCAATTACAATCTTGAAAACATTCTATACTTAATCCTTAATTTATCCCTGCACAGTGGCCATAATCCCCTATTCCTTTTAATATGTGCATGGCACATGCCTGAAAAGTAATTAAAAAAATAGGTTATACGGCAGCCCATTTCACTACGGATGAAATGCAGATGGCTGGCCTCATCTGAAATACAGTAATTGCTTTTTTTTCCCTTCAACAGCGTTACAAAGTTGAGCTCCAGTCCTGGGCCTTTGCAATCCACGCAGACTTCTTTGCCACCTTGCAAAAGTGGTTAGCTTGCCACTGACTCCTTTTTTCCCCCAACTTCCCAGCCGACTGGAGTGTTTAAAATCAAAGCCACCTTTAAATAGGGGGAGTCAGCTGGGGGACGCCAACTCTTACCCTACCTTTCGTGAATATAAAACAGCAGCTGAAAGACGCGAGGGACTAAAATCAGTTCACGTTCACAGAACTCGAGTATCCCACAACGGGGATTCCAGAATGAGGGAGTGGGACTTATTCCCGATTACTTAACCTTTCAGCAGCATCGAATCTTGGCATAGGCCTTCATATCAGGCCCTGGAGGGTGGGGAAGGGGAGGGGGGCTGGAAGTTTGGAAACGGCAGCACTACAAAGCCAAGCGCTTGAGAACTGGAGCAGCAGCAGCAGCAAGGGGCCTGGGCAGGGCTGGTTTCTATAGCAGGTGCAAAACGGGAGGCGCGATTGCCTTAATCCCTCAGTCTCGATGGCAACTGAATCTGTAATTGAAGAGGAGGGACTTCGGGGAGAGCCGCTGCCATTCACTTCTCAGGAGGGGGGAGGAGGGGGCTGGGTGGGAACAGCCACTGAAGGGTTGCGGGGGAGGGTCTCCAGAGAGGGGGATCTTGTTTTGCAAAGGCAAGAGAGCCCTTATCTCCTGCCTCCACTTCACAATCTGCAGAGCGCAGGGAGCTGCTTTTAAACCACTTCCAACCCTCCAGAGCAGCCCAGGTGAGCAGCTTTTGCTACCAGCTCTTGGGAGTGATCCTTCTTCTTGTTGTTGTTCAGTCGTTAAGTCGTGTCCGACTCTTCGTGACCCCATGAACCATATCGCACCAGGCCTTCCTGTCCTTCACTGCCTCCTGGAGTTTGCTGTTTCACGTTCATTGCTTCGGTGATACTATTTAGCCGTCTCATCCTCTGCCGTCCCCTTCTCCTTTTGCCTTCCATCTTTCCCAGCATCAGGGTCTCCAAAGAGTCCTCTCTTCGCATTAGGTAACCAATGGGAGCGATCCTACACTGGCTTGAAATCAGGAGTTGGAGCAGCCTTTCCGACCAACCGGTTTTATTAAGAGGCAGATTTCGGCCGCGCCAGCTCACTTCATCAGATGTCACCAAAGACTCTCCTCCTGCAATGCCTATGGCTGGCTTGAGTGGACTCTGTTTTAGGGGACATCTTAGGTGTCTTACCAAGCAGTTAAAATATGAATGTACTAAGTCAATTATGAATGAAAACCCAGCCACTGGATCCTGCCACAGAGATGGGTGCTAAAAATGGATCATTGAGTGCTGGATGCCAAGGAAGTGAAACAATGAAATAAAAATGCTTCAGTCGAAAAGTTATTAAGCATCACAAATTGATCTCCAACAATCTCAGTCTTTTCCATAATATTTTAAGACAGACGGTTACAGGTCTGGGTCAAAGGGGCCTGGTTCACAAGACTATATAAATCTAGGAAAACTTCAGCCTCTAGAAAAGCAGGTTTGGGTGAAGCTGTTACGGGATGCCCACATAATTCCACTTTATTCTGTAACTCTTGGAGGGCAGGCAAAATTTTGATCAACATAGCCAGCTACATTTTTTAATTGCACCTGCGGTATGGAGGGTCAGATGAGAAATACTCCTAATCTTCAACATTTGTCACTGGTCATGGTATAGTATTGCCAGCTAGCCTGGCACTTACCTGACGTTCACCATCCTGGCACTGAAGCAGCTTACAAATGACACAGTAGATCTGGGTACAGCAACGATGTGAAAATGCGCTAAGACATCCTATAATGAACTCTCCAAAGATCCACCCAAGCTGTATTTTCCAACTGGATGAGCAGAGAGTTTGAGGCCAGGCTTCTAAAGTCTGAGTCTGCAAGAAATTCCTCCGTGCTTCTCCATTTGCCTTTTTCTTCTCCAAAGGTACATTACACTCCCCCGTCTACATAGATGCTGCTACTAAGCACATACCTGAAGACTGCCACGTGGTTAAGTTCTCTAAGTTTAAAAAACAGTCTCCTACCTCTGCCTCATTCTCAATTTCTTGACTGTGCTCTCCATGGACTAGATGTGAACAGAAAAAATGTACTGAAATGAATTTAATAGCTGCTCCTGAGACCCTGGAACAGAGAGCAACTTATATCCCCTCAGCCTCACATATCAAGCCATGGATCCATTTAATTCTGCATCCAGCTATGGCTGGAGACATTTTTTTTTTTAGAAATACACAAATAGAACAGGAAAGCAACAGCCTTCTTATGCTGTACTTACTCCAGTATCTGGTATTCAGAAATATACAGTTATGAACACAGAGGGTCTACTTTGCTAAAATGAATAATAGCTGATGCTTAAAACTATCTTTCTTTATATTTAACCTTTTGGAAAGATGCAATGTTCTTGTAGAGGTAAATGTGAGTCAACTAGGATTTTATGCCCATGGGATTAATTTTAGTAGTATATCTAAGATACTCTTATCACCCTAAAGCAGTGTTGTCCCAACTTGGCCACTTTAAGATG